AATAGTAAAATTATAATAACATAATGTTTATTATATACCAGTTATTACTATTGGTACTCGTTCAATATGATATATATATATAGATTGACACAGTTTATTATTTTATAGGTTTATTTATATATTTTATTAGTAGTGTTGAACTATTAGTTCTTTTTCTTCGTATTCTCCGTTTTAAAAAACCAATAAACACCTTAAATTTAAAATGTAAATAAATTGTTCATAATTTATTATTTTATTCAAAATTCAATGTATTCAAAATGTTCTACAAAAACACAAAATTCTTTTAATCAATAAAATGAGTTTACAAAAATATACTTGTATATGTAGCTAATAACTAATAAATTAATAATTTTAGTTTCTGGGTGGAGCGATAAATGTATTGATTTTACAACGATGTGCATTGTTTGTTGTGTGTACACATACACGTGTTCACAAATACGGTTTATATTTGCAAAATACTTCGATCATAAACTTTGAGGGTGGTTTCAGATAGCGAATTGGATCTAGTTACTTTCAGGTGGTCAACATTTAAAATTCTCAGTACCATTCAATACAATCTTGGAGAAAAAAATTAATTAATTTTCGACATAATATGATTTGATTTTTTGTTTCAATTCAAAATCTAATTACCGAAGAGCCTTAAAGTTTTCAAATATTCATATAACTTGTATCTATAAGCATAACTGTGGGCATAATACAATTTTAATAATAGAGAATCTTTTTGACCTATATATGCGATTACATTTTGTATGTACTACATGTGATTAAAAAATCAACATATTTAACAAATTTTAATTTTATAGATTCCTGGTAAACTGCTTTCAGAAAATAAAAAGTATAAAAAGTTCACAATTTTTTTAAATATTATGTTAAATGTAGCTAAAATCGTTAGTTAAAAATATATTAGGTTAATAGCTATAAGAAGGCTGGGAATTTGTGGGGAAGTGCATTTTTTTTGTTGATTGTAAAACGTAGCTTTGTAAGTACATAATTTAAATTATGTAACTACGTGTCCATTTAAGCAACTTTTATTTTGCATTTTTTTGCATTTTTTGACATTTTGAATTGTTTAGGTCAGTTTTTGGTCATTTTTCCTTTTTTAGTTCATTTTCCAGTATTTTTAATCAAATTCTGTCAATTGACAGAAAAACATTGTTTGAAAAAAAAATTTGTGCTTGTACACAGGCTGTATATACCGATAATATAAGGCAATTGCCAGATAACTACATATCATATGTTATTTGTAAGTTATTAATTTCTAAAATTTTTAAAAAATGTTTCAAGTGAATAGCATTAAGTATAGAAAATTCAAATTCAATCAAAATTTTAATTATTATTTATTTTTTTATTTAATAAATACTTTTGTATGCATGTGATGTACTAATGTATAATACCTTGTAATTAATATGAATATAAATATAAAAATTAAAACAAAAACCATTTTAAATACATTTTATACTATAATTTTTGGCATTTTAGATTGCATTTTTTTTGACATTTTTAATGCATTTTTTAAGGTTTTTTAGTGCATTAAATTCACAGCTCTTGCAATAAGGCTTTAAAATGTAATACAAGCGTTTTAACAAATTTTTCTAAAAATAATTTTAAAAAGTTGATTATATTTGCACGCTTATTTTTTATGGGCATCTGATGTTAAAATTTGGTGATATTAGTTAACGTCAAACTCGTATCATTAAACTATTTTAGTTTTTATTTGTCGTATCTTAAAAGAAAATTAATCTTAATAACTTGAAACATTTTAAATGTTCCTTAAATTATCATTCTCTATAATCAATGAAATTACAAAATATAATCATTATACAAATGTATGAAAATTTAAATATTAATAGCTAAGGCTTGATGTATTTGATTTAATAGAAAGCTCAAAGTTCCTAGTAATTATTATTATTGCAGAAACTTGAAAATCTTAAAAATATCAAGAGACATTTCATGTCTTAATATTCGATAAAATTGAAGGTTGTTTAAACTAAATATAATGATCTTTGTTATTTTGCTATATACTTAATTCAAAAAATAAATTTTTTAGGGACTTTTAGCTTTCTGTTCATAAATATATTATTATTAACAATACAAAATTAAATTTTCAATAATGTTTAGATAAATTTTGAGTTATTGACTATTTATACAATTGTACCACGAACTTATTCACACTTTTCTACAGTGAGTCAGCATTGACTCAAAAGTTATAACAACAGTCAACAATGAAATATCATATAAATATATACTATTATAATAATAATTAATAATATAATAAATGCAATTGTTTTTGCGAAAATTCATTTAACCTACTGTATTACTAATTGTAAAATAAAATTACTATAACAGCAATATAAATTTACCATAAAATGCATTTAGACATATAGGTTGCCAGATCGTCTTCTCTCAGAATTGGTTTTCGTATGAATGACTTATTAAATTAATTTCCAATTTAACACATATGTTACAATTTATAGTGACCTCAGTAGTGAGTTATACAAAACAACCTAAACAGTATAAGAGAATGGATTATTACCATTTTTAAAATTTGAAACTATTACACTTTGAAATTTTTGTTTGATTCCATCTTGGGTTTTTTTTATCATTTCACACATTTTTATAGTATCTCATGTATAGTTAAATATTTTCAATCAGTATTTTATTCCAGGTTTGTTACACTTTTCAAACACTTTGTGATTTATATAATTATATTTACATTTATAAATAGCATTATACTTCTAATATATATATCATAGTGTTTTTTAATTTTTCAATTGGTTAAGTACCTATTGCAAGTGATATAATATGGTATATTATACAACATATTATAATATTCCTTTTTTAATTTAAATAAAAAAATATGAAGCTACAAGTAAGTATTATTATAATGTTAATCATGAAGATCATAATATAAAAATTCCAAAACAAGTTATTTAAAGTATTGTTTTGTTGATGATTACTTAATATAGAACCTAATACCAATTCATGTTTTGGATTACGAAGACTTAAACGTATTAGAAAGTCTACACCTGTCACCTACTATAGTTTTATAAAATAAAGTTGGCATTAACAATTAACTAGTACAAAATGTATACCAAGTTTAATATTTCTTTGTATATAGAACTAAATAACCATATATGCATATAGAAAAAGACTTGAATTTTTTATGAAATATTTTTTTTAATTGATTGAATACTATTTTAGAACAATTAGTACAGATACGTCACGTGTATTATTAGTTTAAGTTTGTATAATTGTATGTTATTGATAACTGACACGATCCTTCATTTGCGAGTACCAATTGACAAATTATGAATAAATGAATAAAATAAAAAGTTGTTTAATTAATTTTTATGAAAATCGAATGGTTTGGAAATAGGAACATACGTGTAATATATTTAAGTGCACTTAATACCTTGGTATTTCTATTGATGCCATGTTATTTTACACGTTTCAGCGGTTGAAGGGGAGTACAGAAAATCTAAAAAAGGTTAATACTACACTACACAACAATTAGACAAACAGGAAACAGCAAATGCAACATTAGTGAAATCTTTGTTTTATACTTTCCTCGATTCTCTTAAAAAATTGTTAAAAATAAACATTTAAGGTATAGGAAGAATAATCTACTAATTTTTAGAAACGTTTTGTAGACCTTTTTCGGGTACCTAATAGTACTTAATCTTTAACCATTTTCTTACCTTTTTCAAATATCCTACAACAATGTTTTTAAAGTTAACATTGATTTTCAATTTAAAGACTTCCATCCTAGTAAAATGTCAATTAAAGTTTGAAAACACTAATATACCAGTCTCCACCTCATGCAGAATTGCACTTAAGTTTATACTTACTGTATTTACTTGTTCGTTAGTTTTTCTATAGGCGCTTATAAAATATGTGTTGTATACTTGGGGAATAGTAAGTTCCTACACAAGAGTAGCAGGTAAACAATTACATACGTTAGTTCTTACACGATAAAAACCAGGTATGTATGTTAGTTCCTACACTGCGGAAAGGGTTAAATATGTGTACTATACACAGACGTATCGTTTTAATAATAATATGTCCAGCCGTAGCTTACTAATATACCTTCAATTAATATATTTCATTTAAAGCAAAACGTATACAAAATTATTTTATTATATTTTTTAATCACCATATTATATGCTATATTTATTTGTGAAAATGCACGATTTTTATTATATTTTTTAATCACCATATTATATACTATATTTATTTGTGAAAATGCACGATTTTTATTATATTTTTTAATCATCATAATATATTTGTTTTTTTTTAATTCGTATATACATATTTACCCCTTTCCGCAGTAACTAACATACGTACCTGGTTTTTATTTCCGTCGTGTAGGAACTAACGTATGTATTTTGTGTACCTGATACTCTCGTGTAGGAACTTACATTCGCCCGTATACTTTTATGTTAAGATGATTTAACAATAATTAGTTATCTAGGACGGAGTTGCTCCCTTTATCATTATTTCACGCTGGATGTGAAACTGTTAGCAGCTTATAGGCCAATCGTACATAATACAAATGATGGGGTCATTATAAAAACACTTCCATAAATACAAAGGTATAATTATTGTTAAGTATTTAAAGCGTATTAAAATCGCTGTATTCGATCGTTTTACAATACCGAGTGTGTCACTTGTGTATATTATTATGTCACGCGATTCGAATGTCAACGGTTACATTATTTGTATGAACAATACACAATGTAATAATAAAACTATACTAACAAACAATATATTATAAGCTAATCGGCGAAAAATGCGTTTCTACCACAACACGTCGCGACGTCTATAAATTATATAAATTAAACACTGCAGCAGAGATGGCTTACATCTACAATATTATAAGAGCTGCTGCAGTTGCATCTTAATCGATGTATGTACAAAAACAGAAAAACACACAAATTAAAATCATGTGGTTGGGGGGGGGGGGCGCGCTGTCGTATTTAAATTGGACATTACCTGGGGGGGGGTCGACTCAGACGACTACCACGACGACGCCGGCGGCTGCGGCGGCAGCGGCGGGAGGCTGTCGTTCCGGCACCGGTTGTTGTTGCGATTGGTGTCGCGGTATCGATGCAATCGTAGCCGTGCTTGGAATCGTCCCTGTCGTGGTCGTCGTGATCGTAGCAGACGCCGTCGCCGCCGTCGTCGTCGCAATCGTGGCGGCCACCGGGGCAGTGGTGGAATCGGCCGCGGCCGCGGTGGACGCGGCTACAGTGTTATCGCGTTGGCCGACGTCCTGCGCGGTGACGTCGCTCGCAACCCCGCCGTCGAGCACAGTCAATTGACGGCGGTTTCCGTCGTAGTCCTCGGCGGCCGAGATCTGCACGGACGGCACCATTTTCGGTTTGAAACCACCGTACTCGATGTAAACGACCTTGGTGCGTGGCGGCTTAGCCGGCGAATACCCGCCGCCGACCCTGTTGGACACGGCGCCGGCCGACTGTTGTAGTACGTACCGCGATTTCCGGCCGCCACCGTAGTAGTTGTTGTGCTGCGCGTAAAACGGCGCCGTCCGTCCCGGTTGCACCATCGACGATTTGACATAGTACGTCCACGGCACCGGATATTGGGACGCCCACACCGGATGGCTGGGCCGGAACGGCGGTACCGGTTGGTGCTGCTTGCCTGCGGCGCCGGCCGTCTGATCTTGGTCGTATTTGATCCCGATCACGTTGTCACTTTCGCCGCCACCGCCGCCGTATTCCAGTGGCGGTTGTTTTTGTTGCTGATGCTGCGGCAGCGGGTGGTGACCGTAAAAATTACCACCACCGCCGTTGTTGTTGTCGTACGCTGACTGCGGTTGAGTTCTGCTGTTGCGTCTCGCAGGTGGTCTGCCACCGTCCCTGGCGCGATAATAGTAGTTAGGTTGTTGCAGCGACGGATACTTTCCGACACCACCGAAATTGTTGTGGTAGTAGAACTGACCACCGCCGTACTGCAAGGGCAGCGGCGAGTACACGGCCGCCATGTTGCTGTTAAGTTGCTGATGTTGCTGTAGTTGTAATTGTTGTTGTTGTTGCTGTTGCTGTTGTTGCTGTTGTTGTTGTTGTTGTTGTTGTTGTTGCTGTTGTTGTTGCTGCTGCTGTTGTTGTTGTTGCTGTTGTTGTTGCTGGTGTTGTGCAAGGTTATGTTGGTAGTAGTAGTGATACGAATATTGCTGCTGCAGCTGATCGTCATCGTCGTTGTTTTTGATGGCGAAGACGTTATTGTTGTTATTGTTGTACAAGTAAGAAAGCTGCAGTTGTTGATCGGAGAGTGCGGGAGCTGTGGCAACGGTCTGAAGCTGCTGCTGTATCTGTTGGATTGATGACGGTTGTTGCAGTTGTTCCGAGCTGGGTTCGGACGGTTGCTCATTTGATTCCGGTTGCCTTAGCTCCTGTTCAGGTTGTCGTAGCTCCGGTTCGGGTTGTTGTAGATCTGATTCTGGCTGTAAACTTCCTTCGGATATATAATTGTATTCCGGTTGAGATTGACTTAAGGGTGAATTGACGAGGTGTTGTTCCGATGCACTGGGCACGGATACGATTTCCACCTCGGTACGTTCTCTTCCAACAAAAGATGACAGCGCAGGTATTACGTCGACGGCCATCGGCTGCTGCTGTGACGACTGGGAAGGCCACACCGTGGACATTTGAGTGGGTGGCATCAGCAACGGGGCTAACAGCAATTGCTGTTGCTGTTGCCGATGCTTTTCGTCTTGTTGATCATTATTATCATTGATCAGCTGCAACTGTAACGATATAATATGACAGTTTGAACATATTGTTTTAATTTATATTTAATATAACATATCACAACGTACGTATGTATCCTTACAATTTGAGCGATTCGCACAGCTCGGGTGTAATTGTAATGCAAATCAATAAGAAGTAATCAACCGCTTAAATTATGAAGATGGCGATTTAAAAGCTAGGGGTGCTAAGTGCATCCATGCCATCCCCCCTTCAGCCTGAACATTTGAGCGTATTCATCGCATTGTGGAAATTGAAAGAAGTTGGAAACCAATCAGAAACAACCAAAATGTCTACACGTGTTAGTCGTTAATGTAGCCTTTAAAGCAGTTCGTCAACGGACCGGTATAATAATATTATTATTATTTACAGTCGTTTACACTCTACGCGGCGTAAACGAGAAAGGCGGAAAATAAAGTACTAACTCGAGTCGCCGTGTACATATATAGTTATAATAAAATGTATTGGTAAATAAAGTACCTACAACAGTGCGACACGTGAGGCCGCCGCACGGTACCGGTATACCTATATCGGCGAATAAATCCATCGCGTTTGTAGAAATCTCTCCGAGCGCGCGCGCGCGCACACACACGAGCAAAAACAACTTTTGCGCGATCGTATTTTTGCGTCCGCGGTGTTTTCACTCGCGCTTTCTATACGGCGGCGGCCGCAAAGTGTACACACACGCACACCACACACACTAAACATAATATAATAATATTAAAACCAGTCGGCGGTCTTTGACGCGATTCTTTGCACGCAGTCGCATGTATTATACACCTGTACAGGTATAATATTACTGGTATATACCTATACTCGGTACCTATACCCACTACCTATATGCACGCGTATGTATATACAACGGACATAACGAACTGGCCCGGGGGCGACTTGTGTATTATTATAATCTCGCGCCGGTGGTGTATAGCGCACACGTGGGGCCACGGCGTCTGTGTGTGTGTGTGTGTGTGTGTGTGTGTGCGTGTGTGTGTTTGCAGTGTTTGTGTGCTCTCGACGACGAAATGGAAAGACCGGTTTGGTGTCGAGCACTCCGCGACGATACACGTGTTGCGTGTACACGTGAACGTAAAATATAATATAGGTACGCGCGAGTCGGCGGTGGCAGTGCATTTAGCGCTGCAGGTAATTTTCTAAATAGTATATAGATAGCCAGATATAGGTATAGAGGTATAGTAGGTAGTAATATAGTAATATTAGTGGAGTAGTAGTAGTAGTTACAATAGTAGTAGTATTATTATTAGTAGTATAGAAACTCTCACTTTCTTTTAGGAGTCGTGGTTCGCACGTAAAAATTATACATGAACAAGTTAGAAATTAGTGTGTCTCTCTCCCACCGCAGAGAGAGCAACTGAGAGCGATGGGAACCCGAAATTGGAGCTTGCGGAAATCCATATAAGAACAAGCGTACACCGAAACTGTCCGTGTGCAGGGTAGGCCATATATATAGGTTTTCTAGGAAATTCGAAACCACACGTGAGGACGTGCCGTGGCCACGGTCGTGGTGACCATGGTCTGTGGCTTGGCATGGCATGGAACTTGAAATCTGTATGTGGCTAGTCTAATATTCCACCTACCCACCCATCTGACCATCTAAAACCCGATAAAGGCATTTACCGTCATATTTTAAACTAGACATGTTGTAGTAAATACCTACTAAAGTAACTTCTAAAGTTACCCACCACGGCCACGTCCCTTAAAAACTCATGGGCAGCAGCCTTTCGATTACCCAGTTTACTCCACGGTGTCGTCGTTGTTGACTTGTGCTTTGTGTCGGACTCACCTTGTTTTGGGATTCGCCGTTTTCCGTCACCGCGGTCTGGGTGGTCGGGGAAGATCGAGATTCGTCCGATTCGCTAGCTGTCTGTTGCGGTTGGGGTGGTTGCGAAAGCGCCCCCGCTGCAGGTGATGGATCTACAGCGTCGGCAGGGTCTTCGACCGATCGCGCCGCAACTTCAACCGTTCCGGTGGCTGTGGCCACAGCGGCGGCCACTTGGACAGGGGCCACAGGTTCCGCGTTTGCTGCACAGCTGCAACTCACCAACAGTATTGCCGCCATTGCTGCAGTCACCCGTAGTAGCGTTGGTGCGCAGTTGTGATATTGACCATCACTGTTTTTTTTCTGAAATGCAATACGTGAACGCGAATATTGAAAACAAAAATTATAATTGTCTAAAAATCAATATTTTTTTTTTAAACAAACGTATAAATTTATGCAATGTAAAAAAATAGTTGTTATAAGATGTAAATTAGCGTCACTGCAGTTGCAAAGTGGCTACATTAATCACTCGATCCATGCCATGAAATTTATCGTAATTAAAAATTAGCACACATGATCATATTGTAGAAAAATAATTACTTTACAGATTGAATGATTAAAAAAAATTATCACCAAATTATCAAAAACTTACAATAGTTTTCAGTTTATTACACTAGTAGTCAAGTGTTGGAAATTATTAGCTGCCTACTCACCTTCATCATTGTCGTATCGACGTCACCGTCACCTTCGTAGTCGCGCATCGAACCGGATGTCACTTCACGATGACATTGTACGGTCTTGTACGATTTGACAGTCTTAAAGATCATCCTGAAAAATCCTGCCTCGACAGATACCGTTGATTCTTCTTTGTCGTCGCCGATGCCATTCACCGGGATTCAGTGAACACAATAAAGGATATAATCGCAAAACGTTAAACCTCTACAATTTTGGTCAGATGGTTGCCATATAAAAGACGAATAATAATTATTATCACGCGTTACGGCAGTGAAGTATAATTTTTATCGTAACAACGATGTGTGGCTAAAATGAAATCTGTGTAAGTTCGGATTGTTTGTGTATGTTGTTGTTGTTGTTGTTGTTGTTGGCGCCCAAGAGTGCACTGCGAGACTGCTGCGACCGAATGTGGCTGATCGGAAACAAGCACTGTACGACGTTGTATTACTGATCCTCACACTAAGGGTTCGCAGATTTGGTGTGAGCGTAAAAACACCGAATACAAGACGAGTATAGATTGTAGTAGTGGTAGTATACAATATAGCGTACAGAATAATATAAGAAAGTGTACTCGAGAGATGGCTGGCTGCAACTCTCACTACACTTACTGTAAGCGCGGGCTCAACCGGTTTGACAGCGGCGGCGGTCCCGGACTGACTATACTACACTATACGCAGCCGTAATGCCTGTGTACTCGCAAACTCAGACCCGCCGGGGTGGTATAGGAAATCTCTCCTATCTACACCGCAATGACGACGACGTGCGAGTGTGTACACATATAATCGAAAACAAAACATGTATATTATATTATTATTATTATTATTATTATTATTATTATTACCATAAATCGTAATAGGAGAAATTAATATAGATTCGTACGAATTATAGAGTAATCAACGATAGTCGCCGCGTATGTAGCGAAATGGACAACTCTTTAGAGTTTCATATAAAATTAATATCCGCACATGTTCAATATACATATTATAAACGCGTCCAGGCTATAATATTTCATTATAACCGTTATAAAGTATAATAATATAATATATGTAGGTACTCTAAAATACGCTGCGAAATTGGTTTGTTGGTGCTAAAATCAATTCGATGTATTATAAATGTACAAACAACATTTTCAGTAACACATCATTATCTTACATACGCCGTTAAAATAATTATTATTGAGTGACTTTCTTTAAATATAATAATATTAGGTACCCATTACCTGCACTCTAAATATATTATGTATATTATTGTACACGTACAGATATACAGTGTAATGAGTATTTTTTTTTGTAAATATAATATAAATGTCAATAGCACAATTATTATTTTTGCATTAACCATTTTTACAGGGTCTATCCATCTAAACTCCCTATAAATATGGGACGAGGTTACAATAATAATAAACAAGCCTGATGGACGAGTTTGTCAAAAATCTCCCAGACTTTTGATTAAATTCAAAAATAACATCGAGTTTTCGATTTTCGCATTCATCTGTTCATTGTCATTATTCAGTCTAAATAATTTTTTTCCAATAACACTGCTTCCACGTTTTTGACACTAAATAAATTAATGTATTACGAGTACCTAAATACTGCCAGAATAATATTCTTATTTATGAACACAGTTTTAGTTTTATAAGACGTTATGAACTAGAAATTGTTTACAAGTTTTCACAAAACTACTCCATACTTTGCTTTATGGTTAGTAAAGTTAGTAAGTTTATGTTTTTAGAATTAACTGAATTATTTAAAAATGTAACTAAATATTTATTTATTATTCATGTACGTAAACTACTAAGCTCTTTTATAAGATAGTTGAATGTACATGTGGTATTTGTGCTAGTAATTAAACATTAAGCTGGTAAAAGTTTTAACCAAATCATGTACACAAATATTTATGCAGATTATACTGTCTTATACATAACTATTGCACATACTTCTACTACATGCATATAAATATAACACAATATAATAAAATCTGAACTTATCTTATAATACGCTGTTCATGGCAAATTAACAAGGTATCTTTTAAAGTGGAAACTAAAGATGAACGATAATAATATAAGCTACACAGTACACATGTTTGAAAATATTATGGACAATATTTTTTTTCTGTGACAAACTTGTTTTAAGTTGTAAAGTATTGTTTTTATACAAACACATATTTGAAATGGATTTTAAAACCCAAAATTATTGTATTAATTTCTCTTGCATTACATGCATATTTTCAAAAATATGCTGGTTCAGTAACTTTTGTCATATTCGATGGGTTAATATTTTACTTTTTGTAGTCCTAGTTCTTAGAAATCTAAATAATCTTTTGTTTTCAACATAGTAACTATATTTTTTTGAAATAAAATAAGAGTTTTCGCATCCACGTACCTATATTACTATCGGATATTGATTTTCCTTTAATAAATAAATTAGTAATTACATTTCACATGATCTCAGTTGTGGATACAAAGAGTTTATTTTGTATAAAAGTTCGTAACCTTGCTATCGAATGCAAAAATAATATTTATTTTATATTAAGATTATTACTATTAATACATGTCCAAAGCCGTATAGTTACCCACCAGGGTAGGAAATAATAAATAAATAATATTTTTATTATTTTCAGCCTCGATTTTTACTAATTGGGAATTCGATTATGTTACACTAGAGCTTTTATCAATTTGATTAAAGGTGTAAATTCAATCAAATACTTTTATATCTTCATATAAAATATTGAAACATATATACTTGTTAATTATATATAACACTTTATAATACTTACTTTAAATATAATAAACACATCATTTAATTTACCAAGTGCCTAGAACAGTATTAATAGATTGGTAGTTTGTAGAATAGTACCTACATATATTTCATTATACAAGAATGGCTCACTAAACATTTCCATTTATTAAGAGAATTTATATAAATTTCGGTTTTAGAAATTTTTAAGTAGATTGAATTAGAAGGTCATATTTTTAACTATTTATATTTTGTATACCTACTATTAATGAGTGTCCTGTGGCAATATAAAATCCTTTCTTACAAATGAGTACCTGCCATAAAATGTTTTTATTATAAATAGAGGAGTACTGGAGTAAATATGATTTTCCAAAATGATAACGTAGGTACTGTATCGAAATGTGAACGATTTCTATTGAAGATTAGTTTTTGTGTTATAACTTATTAAGCTGTTTAAAAGATTTATAGACTAAAATTATATCGACAATTATAGTACTTACTTAAGGTTCCTCCGACCACTAATTAAAAAAATTAAAATTAAAATTTTTTATTTTTATTGTTTATAAAAATTGTCAGAAATATATATAAATATATTGTATTACATTATTTTTTAAATTGTATGTACTACTGGTTAGAATTTCGATTTAAATACATCTAAAATTCACGTATCTAACAATATTTACAAAAGAAAGTGCTATTCTTATTATTAAAAAAAAAAATCCTATACTTAAAAAAAATCTGAGTATTTGAAAATATGGTCTCTAAGCAGTAAGTATACCTTCTTAGTTCTTAAACATTTCAAACAGAAATTGAATAAATGTATATTGTTGGTGGTTAGGCACCATACACGATTAGACATTACCATCTATATGTTGACTGAATCGATAGATGGCTGAAATAAAAACTTCAATATTTACTGTTGTTACTTGTTTCGATAAGCATCCATCGGATATTAATATGTAAATTTATACGATATTACTAATACCATTGGTTATAAATACTAGTATTTATAATCAATGTTAATACTTAAATTTAAAAGTAAAAACGAGTTTGTCAATACAATAATATACCTTATTTAAGCCAATAGAAAGGTTTTGTTATACTTATGAGCAAAGAATATTATGTTGTTTTCATTTATAGTAATTACAAATTTAATTATTTTGATATGATACTTATGTATTTTTAGTTGATAGTTAAATTATTATCTACGAAATTAATTTTTTCATTTGTATTTAATAATATTATGATTTATTGTGTAGTGTATTAATAAGTAATGCTTTTTTTCTTATGCCTATGTTATACTTATGGAGTACAAAATATATCACTTACACTGTGTTGATATATTTTTAATGACTATATTTCAACTTATAAACCTTATATGAAAATAATATTTTATACAATTTTTATAAAATCGATTTATATGACGTACATGAAACAAATATACTATATTAATAAATTATACCATTTTACAATTCCAACTATTACCTTTAAAAATATGTATGTAATGACTATGATGGAAATGTAATTGAATTAAAACGCATAAATAATTTACCAAGTATAGAGGCTATTTAAAAATATATATAATTGGAAATTATTACAATAAAAAAATATTGAAATACACGAAGAGTAAAAACAGAATAGTTTAGTAATGGACAGACTCGATATTGGCCAATGAACATTAATTGTCTTACCTACTTCACTCGTATTGAAAAAATGATTATTGCTTTAATTTTAAACAGTGAAAAGGTTTCTAAATAAATGGATATGCTCGAAAAATATGTACAGTAAGACTGACTTCTGAAAATGGAACAATGGGATAAAAATGTATTGATTAATAATAATGATACACTGATACTTAAATGTTTTTAAATTTTTTTAATGTATAACAAAATCATAAATATAACAAATAGCCTAAACTATATCAATTTTGGATGAATATTATTTCTATTGAACATAAACAATTTTACTATACAAATCATAAAATGATTCAAAGTTGTAATATTCACTATTTTGAGTGACGAAAGTAATTCCTAAGACTGCTTTTAAATTTGCTTTATATGTTCACAATACGGTACAAAACAAATTCAAAACGATATATATATCTTACTGAAATTGAATCATTATAAATTCAAAGAATTCATAATAATATTGAAATGGACTTTCCAAAATTTATATTATCATTTCAATTTGTAGCCAGTCGTTAGAAATGGTCATAGAATAATTGGCAAGCCATAAAATTACTTTTTTTTATAAAACAGTGTTAAAACAGTTTTAAGTACCCAACATCAGAGTCTGAATTGCCAATCATTAGAGTGAAAATTATTATGGAACACTCCCTCAAAAACGTGTACCTACATATAATGATAAAAAAAATTAAAATTAAAATTGTAAGCCAATCGCTCATCTCAAAATCTCAAAACGTGTATGCAAGGTGTGTCATACACGTTTTGGTATAGATCATGTCTCATAAAAAACACACACACATTATATAGGTAGCTGATAGCGAACTGTATCAACCGGTTTGAACCGTTTTTAAATAATATGAAAAAATACACATACTAAATTCAACACGCGCGTATATCTTAATACTAAAAGAATTCGCGGGAAAACGATACGGGTAATGTTTTTTTTCACCTACAAGTGTGCAGCGTGTGAAATCGCAATTTCCTTTTTATATATTATAATATACACTATCGTACTTCACGTCGCCGAGTATATATTTATCATAGATATATAGGTCACCGTGTCTCCGGTACATAAAGTATAAACCGCTATATCGGCTATATAATAAATACATGCCTACTGTTGCCTCCTTGTCGGGCATTATATTATTATATTATATCTATAACACTCCGTACAACAACTAATAGGCAAAAATAAACAATAATAACAATAACATACACGTGGTGCATGTACAATAATATGTGTGCATGATATGGTCGTATTATATGCATAATATTGTATTATAATATATGTATATTATATATATTATATTATATACACGCACAATAATCGATATTGTCGAATTGCGGCGGTACAGGTAGGTATATAGCCGGCGGCGGCAGGTGCTCCGCGAGTAAAACGACCGCCTCCGCCGCGTTATCGCGGAACTAATTGGTACCTACGTTACAACGAACGGTACCTATGGGATATAATATGGAACGTATGGGAATTCGGGAACTTACGGGATCGGATACAGTTGTACTCGTATAGACTACGCGGATTTTATACCGCCGATCGGTTGGAAAATGTCAACGAGTTTCCCTCACGATTACTCGTTTGCGACCCCTCTAAACTCTATATAGCATTGCGAAACGAAGAAGGATAACTTTAATGGCAAATCCATTTTGAACTTAAAAAAAATCTAACGATTTTCGCTCGTGCAACATTGTGCGTCTTGCGGGCCGCGGCCGACGACCAATAGGTATTAACCGCGTATAATTGAATTGTCTTATTAAATCTACCACGTGCGTACTATTATAATATGTAGTGTTGTGGTCAGCTAACATATACTGATAGATCGATCACGGTGCTCGTGGCACGTTTGCCAGAAAAACGAAAAACCCGACAGCTTTGTAGTGTAACCTATACTCACGGTGAAAAGTGAAAAGGGTCAAAATTCTAAGACTCAATCGGTGATGTAGGTACCTTCAATAATAGTTACATATATATATAAATAATATTATACTCTGCAGTACTTATGTATAAATAACGAATATCGTATAAAATATTCGACGACCACTGTTTTCAGCTACCTACATCGTTTCCGAGCGATGATGATCGTGATGATGTTGATGATTATGCTGATGATGATTACGATAATAATGATAATATTAAAATCGATTAAAATGTTATCGTATATACAAGCAGCGTGACCGTCCTCGCGGCGGCGGCGGTGGCTATAATACGCGTGTTGCGCGCGCAAATCAGCGGCAGCGGTGGTGGCGGCGGCAATAATACAATTATATTGTTATTATTATTATTCGATGCGGCGCTAAAAGGGAATAAAAAAAACACATCCCTTTTACTGCCACGTTTATATACACTATACGTATATATGTATTGTATAGGTGCTATGACAACGGTGACGGTTTTGCTCACCGGTATAGTCGCCACCGTCATCGCGCGGGGTCGCGCGGGGTGCCGCCGCCGGTATTTTATTTTATTATTATTATTTATTTTTATTATTTCGAACCCGTCGCAACAGGGTACAGCACACACCCACACACCCACGAACCCACACACACAGCTCATATATATAAATATATATATATGAACATAGGTACACTGCAGCGTGGCACACAACGATAATCTCTATACTACCCCTTGGCGGCGGCGGCGACGGTTCGTCTCTCTCGGGGACACGCGCGCGCGCGCCGGCGAGATTCGGTTTCCACCGCCGCGCTTTCCACCCGGGCGCGCGATAGTCTGTCGATCTCGCCGCCGCTGGTTTTCCACGAACCCACCGCCACACCGCGTGACGCCTACGTCGTCGTCGTCGACGGTAGACGCGACCGCCGCGCCGCCGGCAACAGAGAGCGCCGCCGGCGGTCGTAGCGGCAGCAGAAACCGCCGCCGCCGCCGTCATCGCCGGGCCCGGAACAGCGCGCGGCCGCCTTCCTGCACCCGCCCGCCTACCGCCCGTCCGCCACGCACCCCTCTTGCCCGTCGCCGGCGCAAACCTCCCGGCCGGGCGGCGGTGGCAGTTCCAAGCAGCGGCGGCGAGCAGTCGTCAGTCGGTCACGGCGTCCCGGTGAGCGACGTTTGTTTGTCAGTGTATGTGTGTGTGTGTCACAGTCCGTGTGCGCGCGTGTCTGTGTGTGAGCGTTTAGTGGTGTGTGCGTGCGAGCGATCGTTTCACCCGGCGGGGCACAGTGTGTGCCGAGTCTTAGCGTCGAACGGAAACTCGCCGCGCGACCGAAACGGGAATAAGAGAGATAAGAATAAGGAAACCCGTCGTCGGCACCGCACTGCTACAACCGTCATCTTCAACATCGAGATTTTTTTCACTATTTCTACTCTTTATTTCTTCTTTTTCTTCGACCACCTCACGTTTCGACGATCGCGCGGATCTCGTACACGCGCCCCGACGACCCTCATCCTGCGAGGGTCGTTTTATTAAATTCCGAATCGTATAATATATGTTGAAGCGATTCCATTATATCGTACACGACGACCCTTAAATACGTACTTAAAAAAATCCCCCTTTTTGAATCTCCGTCGTCTGCTATAATACATCGTTACAGTCGCAAATTGTTATAGATTTCGCTGTACGATTGGTGCAGTGCTGCAGGCGGCAGGCAAGACTATAAATATCGCAAAAAGGCAGACGGAAATAAACACTAAGAAAAAAAAAAAAATAAAATGATCGTAAACTTTTTGGCGCTTGTTGAACGGCGAAGAAGTTACTTCTTTGAAGGGCTCGGAAGTCTTAGAAAAGTCGCAGTGGCTAAACCACCGCCGACTTTGGCGTTGTCTTGCGTTTGGCAATGCGTTTAATCCGTTTCAAGAACATTAGTCGTTAGTCAGCATGACTTGGTCAATGAAGTCTTCGGACAGCGGTGGAGAAGGTGGCGAGGAAGATACTGGTGGCGGGGGTGGAAGCACCAAGTCAGTCAAGTGGCGACGGCATGGTGGTCGAGTTTCAACTACTTCAGCGTCAACAACTTTGGGCTGTGGATGGATGACCACAACAATGTTCCTCTTCTTCTTGATCACCAGCACGGCAGCCGTGCTATCAAACTCTACATTCAAAGGTACCGTTGTCAGTTATAATTATTAACTATATCCATATTTATAGTATACATAATGCAGTAAAACCATATAATATATAATATTTTGTTATCGGTGTGTAAGAAAAATAGCGATTGATCCCTTTAGACTTAGGTTTGTCTAAGCCAATGCCACTGCGGAATTGTTATTATGTGAATACACTACGACGTACTTTTGCGTCTGTTGTATTTGTTGACCGCGATGGACACGGCTATTCAAAACGAATAAAAATTAACTTTTCGTTTTTTAAATTCGAATTTGCATTAATAATTCTCACGCGGATATTATGTTTATAACGCATTTTAGTGGTTAGACAGTGTACCTAAAGCTTTGTGTGTGTATGTGTGTGCGTGTGTGTGTCGATATAAAACACGCGAGAACAACAACAGCCACCGTGGTCGGTATCGTGTTGTCGTAACGCGATAGTTCTATCAGTTGAGATCGAATTGAGCGGGAACGCATATATTATATCATAATATAATATCACGAAGGCGCCGCCGATAAGGATATAATATTATGGTATATAGTTAATACTTAATAATAATAATAAGTATCACAAAAAAGGGATAGACATACGAGCACTGCTATAATGACATTGGGGCTATAATAATAAGGTTTACGATGTATGCGTATGTGTATATGGTAACCGATACGGTGATACCTGAAAAGACCGTGTATCGGTGGACGAGGGTTGTGGTGGTGGTGTTGGTGCATGTTGGCTATTGTCTTTTTTTGCTTTTCATTATTATTATTATCATTATAATAATGTGTTATGCTATACGTCGACGGTTATTGCGTACTATATGCAACTAGATATTATATTATATTATAATATTTCGGAACCCTATATTGCATAAAGCGACATCTCGGAAATCCTTTCTTAAAAATAAGTTTCTCGCTAAGAAGAATTTATCGAAATAGGCGACCTGCCCTGGGCGCACAATTATACATATACATTATTATTATAATACGAGTATAGATTCCCTAAGGAAAATCGTTAAGGTATCTACGTACAAACGCGTGCCTTACCGAAGCCATTCGAACGTTCTCGATAAGATTCAGAAGTGTGTGCGGGTCGGGGCGAGGGTAATAGTTTCCAAAATCTCGGGATCCCCGGACGTAAAACACACCCCTCCTATAATAGTAGTTCCTATATTATACTCTTCTCGTCAATCGCGTCGTCGGGCCGTGGGTGTAAAACACTCCTGCACCGTCGTAAGTTCGTAACCACCACCACCACCACCACCTCCATCACCACCGCTGTTAACATCGCCTCCACTTACGACGAAACCCAGTGGCTGTAATAATATATTATTCTTTATCACCCGTTATGTTATATTATTGTTATGTACCTATATAATGTTATATAATAGTCGGTGGTTGTTCGTACGCCGCTATAATAGTTATGTAGTACCTACAAAATAAAATAATATTCTCGTCATCGTAATATCAATATTGTCGTAATATCGTGAATATTGAGCTTTCTGAACGACTTCGGTCGCATCATTATCTCGCCATACGTTCTCACCCGAACGCCGCGAACGACAAAAACGTATTGTCGCTATAATACAACAGCAGTCGTGCTAATAAACTGTGCTGTTTGCGGAATCCACCGATCTCCTCGCTCGCTTGCTCTGTCGTACGGACGGCCGCGTAAAAATAGACTCTCGAGTCTCGGTTTTAAATTTAACGGGGAACACGGAGGCGTATATCACGCGTAATCGTACGGAGTGTATAAGTAGCCGACGATGTACGAGTATATATGTGTGTGTGCGAGTGTGCGTGCATGTGTGTGTGTGCGTGTAAGTGTACACGAATCGCTCACACACACTTGTGTGCGGCACATATAATATTATGCGCGCGTATTAAAAGTGTCGGGTTGGCGGTGGCGGCGATTTTGCAGACGACCCGCAACGGCGCGCCCGTCAAGTGAATAATAAAATTCGTCGTCGCCGCCGCCGCAGCCGCCGCCGCTGATCCATTTATTATTAAACACGCATAACATAATATTACATAGTATACATATACTTGTACGCGTATCGCGGTACGGTCGTGCGACGCGAGCGATGCGTCGTACACGCGTTTATATATAGAAGCGACTCAAGCGATTTGAAAGTTACGCCACGCCGCCCGTTACAAGGCGTCATAATATGCGACGACGTATGCGCGCGTGTATAATAATAATGTAACGTTTTATAAATATACCGACTACGGACGGCGCGGCGTCAAAAGCTCCGTCGTGGTCGTCGCCGTCGTCCGCGTAGTCGACGGTCGTATAGTTGCAGTCAGCGACGCCGGCGGCAAATCGCATCACTCTGCGCGACGTTTTTATTTTATAGCTAACTTTTTTGTCTTATGGTCAACGCGCGTGTTTCTAAATATGGAATCGTCCGCTCGCCGTTCCGGTCACTTTCGTTACGCCGGCGCCGCCCCGTAGTCTTATTTTATTGCCGCTCCCCCTCAAGATATTTTATATTAGAAACCCGTGCGTCACTGTACACAATAATAAAACATTAAGTAATGATATAATTATAACGTTTTAACTATTATTATTATTATTATTTTCCGTACTGTCGCAAGCGGACAGAATCGAGTATAATAATAATATTATAAAGTACCTACGTGTCTAGATGGTTATTGTCGCGCGCCAAGATCGTCAGGACGTGGGCGGCCGCGAGTTTTGTTCCAGTTTATTTTTTTTTCGCCTTTTTCATTACATATTATTTTGTTCATCTTGCCCACTGCGGAAGGGTAGAGAGAGAGAGAGAGAGAGAGAGAGAGAGAGAGTGAGGCAGAGAGAGATTGGGCGATGAAATAATTCCTTGGAGATCAACTACAGAGTAGCAGTGTGTAGAGGTTCTCCAATCCGGCTTAGGTCGGTCCGACGAGACTTAGTCATCGTTGTTGGCGCATACCTATATACCTAGTGGTAGCTACTATATAGTATAATACATAATATAATAATATAAGGCTCCGGAAATTCGATTGTGCTTTGGGTACCTACGCGGCGTTAACGTTTGAAATATTAATGTCCAGCGCAACAGAGTTAAATCACTCGCGATTTTTCCGAGCGGGCTATTAAAATCGTCGTGCACCCCATCCCGCATAGCGTTATACTTCTGAATAAATTTACCAAGCGGCGATGCGTATGCATATTGCATAGACGCACACACACACGCACACACATACACATCGTGTATATGATAACGTAAAATATAAGTTTAATAATAAATTAGGTACATGTATAGCAGCATATACAACGTAGGTACATATTTTGCGTATGTATAGCAAACACTGTGTAAGGCGTAGGCAACCATGTTTTCCCGTTTTTCCACACACCTAATATAGAAAAACACGGGTAAACACTATATATAGCCCACCCTGTATGAATAATATATAGAAATATATATATTCATCCCCATGTTGTAAACGGGAAACTAGTTACACAATGTATACCATATTATACGCTCTCTCTTTCTATATATAATATTATATATATTTAATGCGCGGGCGTTTCACCACGAACTACAATGCGTCGATGCTCTTGGGGCGTCGGAAAATCCGGCTGCTAAGACGGGTGGTTTTTCCCACGGACGTAAGCGCCTTTGTGATTACGCTGGCACATCTGTGTATGTGTGTGTGTCGTGTGTGTACATGTGTGTATGTGTTTGTTATAATGATAATGACGATGATGGGAACCACTGCAGCGATCGAGAGGTGTTTAGGGGAAGAGCAGCGCGTGTGGCGTACTATACGTCATTGCGGGTAGACAGGTAGGAGATTGGCGCGTGTGAAAAACTCTCAATCACCGCTACTGTTCACGTAATACGTATATGAACGTAAAAGTACCTATCTACCAGCGTCCCACATACACGTTCGTACTTCGCGAGCCTAAGTATATGATATATATGTATGTATATATGTATGTGTGCGCGTGTGTGTGTGTGTGTGGAGATGAGAGCGTGAACTTATTGTGTTCGCGTCGTCGTAAAATATTACACCAGCCCGTAATGCGCGTGTATTTCCACGTGTGTGAACAGTGCAAACTCTAAATAAAAAAAAAATAAACAATAACCTCCCGTATACGCCGAGAGCGTTGAAGAATAAATTTCGGAAGTAATGGGTATAACGACGGTTGAAATATATTGCGTTCACAGTTCACAATATTACTGGCGCATATACAATAGTAAAAGTAATAATAATAACAGGTAGTAGCGAGTACGATGCAATATATATATATAAACCATCGTTGTGTGCTGCGCGTAATACGTATATTCGTCCTAATTGCACGGTAATAGACGCGCGACGATATAAAAACGTTATAACGATTTCGTCGGAGGGGTGGAAAAATGCAAAAAAAAAAATGCTTAAAAAGCTATTAACTATGTATAGCTGGTACGTATATAGTATATTGTATACATATATATGTGTGTGTTGTTTGTGTGCATAGAGCACTAAAACTACACGATTACCGCGATTGTATACATAATATACGCGACGGTCCGGACACGGGACTGTTTTTTTATTATTATTATTATTATTTGTATATACACGAACACAACTCGCAGGTTTACCGTCGTCGTATATGAAACGCGCGTTTACATCACCAATTATTATTATACAAGCATAATATAGCAGTAGGTATATTATATAATGACTGCGCGTACAACGGTTGACATACGGATAGGTGGGTACAGAATAATAACAACGATAATGATAATAATAAAAAAAACATTGGATACGGTACACTGATTGTAAGTCGATCGCCTATATTATAATCGCCGTGTGAACCACGTCCTTGGCGGTGGTTGATGGATGCGCTAGGTGCGCAACGATGACGATCGACGCGTGACGACGACACAAGACGACGGGAAGACGCGTATTAATGGTGCGGTACATGGGATGTTACCTGGACAAAAAAAAAATTGAACAGGTGTTTTTCTTCGACTTCTGCTGTTTTGACACTATATGGCGTTTCCGGCCG